TACACTTTTTAAAAAGATTTATATATTTATGCATATAAAAATGGGGATTCAGGCCAGAGGTGTGGGTGGTAAGAGGATTCACCAGAGACAGAGTGGGGAATAGAACAAGCAGACTGATGAAGTACCCTGCTGAGGGGAGAGGTAGGTGAGGCAGGAGAGGTCTGCTGTGTCATGTGGGCCAGCTCCTTGGCTGGGGATCAAACTCGCGCAGAAGTGGCTAGTGAAAGTATCATAGTTCTGAACTTTAACCGATTGCACTACCAGGCCCAAGTCTACTTATTGTTAAATGTGGTCCTTTTTTACCACTTTCCCACTATCCTCTAGAAGTGTGGCCTTGCTGCTGGCATGTCATGTATTTCAAGTTTTATTTACCACTTCTTTTCATTAAGATCCTCCAGACACAAGATCAAGCCATGAGTCATCTCCACAATCCGACCCATCAAATTCCCTCATTTCTTGATGAAATTAATCCTTTGTAAATAATTTTCATTAGCTAGTTCAGATTAATATAGCAAGTCCTTTGCTAGATTTGCTTCTGCCACGCACCCCCCAAATTCTTTTAAGACAACGATAAAATCGAATTGCAAACATAATGAACGTTCTCATGATGTAATTTTTCTCATAAAATAACTCAAGTGGGGTGAAATGTGTGCAGCGCCTGTGGTGTGCTAGTGTTTGCTCTGATCCCTTGGGTTGTGTCTTTTATTTTTTTTCTTTTTTGTTAACACTGCACAGCAATAATGGAAAGATGTATGTCTCAGATTGTCAAGGAAAACTTGACAGAAAAATGGTTGGGGGCCTCCCTGATGACCTAGTGGTTAAGTATCAGCTTTACCACCACCATGGCCTGAGTTCAGTCCCCAGCCAGGAGCTAAACCACATGGTGCAGCAGACCTCTCCTGTCTCACCTCCTACTCCCCTCAGCAGTGGATTTCAGTCAATCTGCCTGTTCTGCTCCCCACCGTCTCAGGTGAATCATCTCACCAACCATACTTCTGGACTGCACCCCAGTTCTTCCTCATAAAAACAAATAAGTCTTAAAAACAAGAAATGATTGGGAGCAATTCTGGAATGACATTTGGCTCAATGCTGTATCTTGTCTAGAACCTTATCAGGTTGTCCTAGATAGTTATTCCTGAAACCTGCCACAATGTCTAAACCTCAAAACAATGCTTAATCTTTTCACAAAACAAATAAACAATAAAAGGTAGTGGGCCTAAGTCCAACTTTGCCTCAGATTCCTTTTGTAAACACTGTATTGACAACCCACAATGCTGTCTTGTAATTAAAAAATTATTTAATAGAATACTGACTGTCCCAGCTAAAATTTCCCTCAGGACTAACGTAAAAGCTTCAATAACAGAATACAACCTAAATAACATGTTATAGTGTTGTTCATTATACAACAGTTCTTTGAATAATATGTAAAAATTTCTTGTGGTCAAAATTAATGTCTGAATTTTATGCTTAGTGAAATAAGTCAAAGAAAGAAAGACAAAATTCATATGACTTTACTCATATGTGGTATAAAGAGAAACCAAGAAAATGAGATGAACAAATAAAAAGCATTTAGACTATAAAACCAAATTTGAAGGGGGGCGGGGAGTAAGTTGAGTAAAGGGGATCGTGGTATCATGAAGAATAAAGTGGAACTTTTAGTGGTGAACTTGATGTAGCACATACAAATGGCGATTTATAGTGCTGCACAACTGTGTCTTATAATGTTATAATGTTACTTCAATAGAAATTTAAAGAAAATTAAGAACTGTAGATTGTCTGACGATGCTTTTCTGTTACAACACAGAACCAGCAGAGGGCACTCTTCACTCACTCTGGAAATTTTACATTCCTGGCTATTTTGGATAGTTGATAAACTTCCTTAGGACAATTTCTGCCTGAAGAATGTGTAATTATACATCGTGACTTTATGGGTTCTCACGTAAAAGACAGAGGTTGTCCATGTGGACTTCGTGATGCTGAAGGAATACTGGTGTTAATAATTTGTCTCAGGTCACATAACCAGGCCTGGAACTAGAAGACACCCCAGAATTCAAATTCCAATTATTCTCTTCTCCCAATCACTGTAACCAGGCAGTAAGCTTCTTTCTAATTCTTACTTAGGAAGCAGCAGGAAGCCAACCAATGACTAAGGCAGCTGAATGTCAGAATTGCATGCTAGCTGGGAGCACTCGTGTTTGCTTTGGTCTGAGTTTCCACTGATGCTGCCCACTTCACCTGCTCATTCTTCTAATCCCACACCACTGATCCTCCTGACAGGGGTCAAGAAGGAAGGGAAGGGCACCATACCCAGCACAGGAATCTGCAGACTCATAGGTACATGCTGTATGTACTTAGCAAATGACTAATGATCTGGTTTCTGATGATGACTGAGGGCCTGACATGGACACCACCAGATACCAGCATTGAGACAATCAGATTGCTAACCAATTAACAAATTCTGGAGGCTCAACATGACAAATATCAGGGACATCGACTGTGAAAAGCCAAGGATGGTAACTGAAAAACAACTGGTTAGCACCTATTACTACTATTTGGAGAGAAATATGATGGAGGATCTGTACAGTAGCTTTGCCATTGTTTTATATTTAGGAGGGCTTTCCAAATATTACAAACAGCACCTTCTGATATAAATGTCATACTATAGGTTTCTACATTGGATTTGATGTTACATTTAAATATAGTAGATCCTGGGTTATATATAGTTTTTGCCAACTATTTTCTGAACTTTGGTCACAGGGAGATAAGGGCCCAAAAACACAGGAAGCATCTTATTGGAGGTTTTGGCAGCAAATGAATTTTTAATATATGTATTTATTATGCCTGATACAAAGATCTACTCGTTCATCTGTATACATGAGTTTAACGTGATACACAGGCGACCTACTACAATTCTTGTGTTTTCTTAACTGCTTCTTGGTGCTCAAGGCTGTGTGGAAGGACTATTCAATGACTTATTGCTCTTGTTCTCACTGTCATCCTTAGACTGTGTATTTAAAATAGTTTGTTTCCCATTTCCTGTTCAGACTAAGTGGTTCTTCAAAAGACATCCAAACTTGAGTTAAATTTGTTGTCAATGACACTAGTGTATGTACACTTACACACTTATGAAAAGCTGTAAATGGCTTTATGTTTTCTAATTTTAACAGTGTGCTTTTAAAAATGTTTGTTCAAAAAAACCACCTCCAAGCACATCCAGGCTGATCTATCCTCTCCACTGGTGGAGGCTGACTAAGAAAGACATGCTTGAGAATGGGACAGGGTGAAAAAAAACAAAACCAAAAAAGCCCCGAGGTTCTGTGGACCCCACAGAACAGTAAAAGTCAGCAGACTCTCAAATTGCTTTCTACTCAGGGAAGAATGTAATATCTAGTTACTCTCTAGAGTGATTTTGTAAATGACTCAGCATGTAGAAACTAAAATGGTCTATGTGCCCTTATTTCAATAGTAAAGCAAAGCAGTATTAACGCCCTCACTTTGTAGTCATACACGTGATCTCAGGCACAGAGAGACCCTTCATCTAATGGAGTTTTACAGTCTTGAAGTCAAAGTTAAGTGATTGCTCCAAAATAAGTTTCTAATTTAGCAAACTGAAGAGACCACTATTGTAGTAAAGTGAACCAGCCTTTCTATTGTGTTATTAACAAGGCGACATTTGAGAAAGACATGAGGAGTCGGATTCTCAGTCTGGAAATTTTCTCAATGAATAACTTTAATTCAAGCAAAATGACTAAAATATTTGGTTCCCCAAAATGGATTTAGGAACATGAGGTGATTCTAGAGGACAACAGCCCTCAGCTAATGTTGTCAACAGGGTTTTTGAAACTGCAACTTTTAACTCAAACAACAGAGAACAAAGTTAGGTCCTTCAATAATGATTTTTTTACTCAATACAAGTTGGGACTTTTTTTTTTTAACCAATATTAATTTTTGAAAAAATTGACTTTGAAATGTTTTGTAGCTTATTTCTACGTATTTCTAACAAAACACCTATGGGCTTTGATTCAATTCACCTGAGAAAAATTCAGTAGGAAATTGTCACAGTTTAACATAATGGAAAAAGTTGCTTCTAGTAGGTGAAACAATTAACACCAACGTACTAGGCAACCATAGGCAGTAAATAGCTTCAATTGAGAGGCCTGGTCAAGGGCCTCAGTTGATCGCCCTGGTCAGACTGAAAAGTGATTTATGCAAACTTCTCACTTTCCACCAGAAATTATTACCATTATCTAAAACATGATTCTGGTTAAAAAAGAACAATTAGCAATCAAGGCTCCCACAGCAATAGGGCAAGGTGAACGCTTGCCCTTCTAGCTATGGCACCCAGCTTCTGGGACAGGCAGTAAAGGGACATCGGGTGGTTCTGGAGGAACATCTGAAACCTCAAAACATCCCTCTTCCCAACTTCCCCTGCCAATGAAGTTGCTATTTCAGTCACTGGACTCTCCTCTCCTCCTTTCCCCAAGTAACGTGGTTCCCTCACCAGGAGCGTGTAGGACAAGATGGCTCCAAATCACAGGTGAGTTGAGTAAGTCTGACACCATGCATGAGACTTAACTCTCTGACTTTAGGTTTCAGATCAGTTTATAAATAGCATCACATAGGAAATACGAGAAACGTCTGATGAGCTATGTTTTTAGCAGGCTTTCTACAGCATGTCCAAATGAGTAAGATGATCTAGAGGAGCAGTTTGTCTGGAGGAGGGGGTGGGAATCAAAACCAAGCAAACCACATCTTTCTTTAAAATTCTCCATCTGAAAAAATCAATTGAACAAAACCTGAGACTCTCTACTTTTTAATTCTACCCAACCACAACCAATTTTCAATGTACATTGTTTGTTAAAACTAGCAAATGGACAACCCCACTGCTATGGTTAGACAAAAACCTGTAGAACATAAACTCAGAGAAACAAGTGAAAGCATTTGCAGTAACAGAGTTAAGATTTCTTTAAAGTTATAGTGGTATTATTTCTAGAAAACATTGTGAAAAAATATATATCTCAAAATAGAACTAGGTTTAATGAGAAGGCTCAGTGAAACTTAAAAACCTGACCAGGAAAAAAAAAGAGCTAAAATAATCTTCCCATTTTTGAGACTGCCTCACTTATCTGCCCTTAGACCCCACCATTCTGGACCTACTACAACAGAATAAACTAAAAGCTATGGGAAAGTGCTGGTATTTTTCATGATCTCTTCAAGACAATTTCCATCTTGGTAAACTGACTCTTCTCTCTTGTCAAGGCAACTGATGGACTTTAATTGTATTCGAAGACATGGGTTCAAAAACCTCATCATCATCTTCTACCCCTTCTTCTATTGGTTTCATCTTGGCAGAGGCTCGTTGGTGCGGAGATGACATATCTGTGGAAACATAGAAAAGAAAGGCACTTCATGGGCAGCCTTCCCTGAAGCTGGTGTCAATGACGAACAACTAAAAGAGGTAAAACTCTCTGGAAATCTGTAAGCTGGTACCAGAAATGTGGTTTCTCTAACCACTGTATTTTCAACTCAGCATCTCGATAAAACAACAGCTAGAAATGATTCTCAGTTGTGAAAACAAGTGTGGACGCATCCTACTGCATGTGCTTGATGATGCGAAGTTTCTCAGAGGCAATTCCCAGCGGGCTGTCATCGTGCACCAGGCCACAGAATGCCTGTTCCAACGCTGACATCCTGCACAGTGGGGGACAAATTAGGGTTTAACTCCTAATTTCCCTAAAGAATAGTTCTAACACTATAGGACCTATCACCATCAGAAGCACCGCCTAAAATAAGCTCTTGCTACCATAAGTCCAGCTACTCCTTAGACTGATATGGGAGAGGGAGTGTTTCCCAGTCTAAGCTGTCCTGAGAGCGGCAAACTTGTCTTTTTTTTAAAAATAATAGACAGACCCTCCCTGGTGGCGCAACAGGTTAAAGCACAGCACAATGAAGCTACCACAGCCACTGCAGCATGAGTTCAATCCCTGGCCAGGGAGCTGACCCACATGGCACAGCAGACTTCTCCTGTTTCACCCACTGCTCTCTCAGCAGTGTATTTCAGTAGATCTGCCTGTTCTACTCCCTACTGTCTTTGGTGAATCCTCTTACCCTCCCCTACCTCTAGCCTGTACCCCAGTTCTTATATGCATATATAAATGAATTTAAAAAACTAGGCATGGCTTCAACTTATGTTTAGCCTCAAGTTATGATTCTCATAAAATCTTAACATAGGCTGAGTGTTTGCAGCCAGATAAAATCCTTAGAACAGTAAGATGGCCTGGCTAAGAGCATTAAACCAAATCAATAATGCAGAACATTCAGACATAGCTATCACACACAACAGAAACACATTGTTTATTTTGACTGGGGAAGTGGGACTAATTGATCTAGTTTTTAAGCCCATCTATCAAAGCAGGAGTGACATTCTGTAATATCCCAAAGCTGCATCTACATTGGGATCAAATGTTAGTTGACCTTCTCAAGTACTTCACCAAACCACTGCATTTTCTACTGAGCGTGAACAAAGAGAGGACCCAAGACCACTGAAACTGAGCTGGTGGAACTTGCAGCTTCTCTGAGAAAGAATTTAGTCTCTTTCACTGTATTTGCCTGGGCAAAGGAAAAACTAGAGTTTACAGTGTTAAAAAGATAGTAATGCAGAGGTACCCAGAGTCCCAGGTGGCATCCAGGGATTTAACTCAGGCTCCCTTCCCCTTCTGGTCCACGTTCTGGTAAACTAGCGCTGCCCAAATCCAGCTCATACTTTTCCTTCTCTCTTGCTTTGCTCTCCACCTAGAGTGGTGTCTTCACTCCCCCACCACCAAATTCCTGTCCACTCCTCAATGTGGAGTTCAAGTCCACTTTCTTCATGTGTACGTTTCCCTTAACTCCTGTGGGGAGAGTCTCTTCTCCTCTAGACAACTACTGCACTTATATTACAGAGCAGGGAGAGGGGCACCCCAGGACCCCCAAACCTTCCTGTTCTAAATAGGTGCTGCCATCTGCTGCATCAAGACAAAACATATAAGACCTTTAATGAAAAGGAACTTTCATACAATTAGTGTGCAATACAGACAAGACAAAGACTACAGCTTCCAAATCTAGCACCTGAAGTTAACCCTCCCCTCATAGGTAAATGTCTAGCCAAACAAGGTTGGTCCAAAACAAGGCCCGAAAGCCTGAAACAAGTTTAAAGCATCTTCTGGCAGGAGCCCATGGAAATGGGTCAAAAACAGCCAGACAAATCTGGGAAGAAAAGAACAAAATTAAAACCAAGATAAGCTGCCATAGTCAACCTCCCCACGGTTCTTTCACTTACATCTGTTTTACCCAGTCCAGACCAAGAAGCAAGTGCAGCTTCTTCTCATATCTCTCTGCTCCACGTGCTTCCCTCAGGTCTCCTTGTGGTTCTCCATCCTGCTTCCTTCCTCTGCAGTCTCCTCTCTAGATTCCTCTCCCTTCTTAGCTCCAGCCCTCCTTCAGTGGGGCAGGGAAAGTGGAAGCTCCCTTTTTTCTGGGGACTACCCTGTTACACTTACACATGATTAGAAGTACTTGCACCTCCCCCTCCCTGAAGAATAACCATCGTGAGAGCAGTAAGATTCTTCTCTCCTGAGCCTCTCTGAAGTAGCCCCCACAAAGCCCGGTCCTACCCAATGACCCAGTACATAGAAAAAAACTCCTCCAAACTTGGTCTAGAAAGCTGAACTCGTGGACCGGGGACAAACATCTGGCCATCCACTTTAATCTCTGACAGCCTAGCCCCTCCCTCCCAAGGGGCCCTGCCAGCACCCCTCAAGTGCATGCAGTTCTTAGGTTGTGGTAACACCCATGAAAATGGTGTCTCATGTCCCCCAGGTGAAATCACTTGTGTGATTGACTGATATGCTGCTGCTTACAGCCCTGGCAGAGTCTCGAAGAACTGAACTCAGAGCGCTTCATCCCATCACATTGTATTGTTATTTTTACGTTATACCCAGAAGCTAATGCAAAGACAGAGCAGTAGGGAGAGAGTGGGGCCCTGCTGTAGATGAATGCCTTTCTTACTGGGGAGTGAGCCACTCAGAAACATCTTCAGGCAAGATAAACCCAGGAGCCCTCACACTGGCCATGATTGACATTTTCTACTCAACTTCTTTTCACAGGCAGAGCACTAGATTCATTCTCCTGTTTAGCTCTAGTAGCTGAGGTGGAGCCCCAAGTCCTCAGGCCCCAGTTCCCACACCATCTTGTTGATCTGTCTGCATCCTGGCAGATGCACTGGAAGTCACAGGAACTCTGACTTATAACTGCCAGAAGCTTCCCAATGCCAGCTGGCTGCCTGACCTCTCGACAGGTATCAGAGCTGCAGAGACCCCCATTTTGGGACCAGCCTGTTAGCCTGGGTCTTCTGAACCACCAACAGCCAACGGCCGTTGGGACTCTAGGACTCTGCCACTGTCATGGCCAAAAGGGCTGGCCAAGAGCAAGGAGCTTACCTGGCCCCAGGCCCAGAAGAGGTAATCTCTACACTCAGCTGGAAACCGGCTGATTCAGTAAAAAGATAGTGGCTACTGGCACTATGCTGCTAGAAATAGTTTTTGTGTCCACTAATAAATCTGTAACAGGGTGGACCCTGAAAAGGGGAGGTTCCAGGTTCCCTGCCCCACACAGAAGGAGGGTGGAGCTGAACAGAGATGAGAGGAATCTGGAGAGGATACTGAAGAGGAAGGAAGCAGGATGGAGAGCCGGAAGAACTGAGGGAGGCATGTGGAGCAGAGACATGTGAAGTGGCTCATGTTTCTTGGTCCTGGGCTGGTTGAAACAGATGTGAGTGAGAGATCCATAAGGAGGTTCACTATGGCAGTGTTTATCTTGATTTTGATTTTTGCTCGTTTCCTCCCAGACTTGTCTGGCCATTTCTGACCCTTTTCTATGGGTCCCGGCCAGAAGGTGCTTTAGGCTTGTGACAGGCTTTTAGGCCTTGCTCTGGGCCAAGGGTGGACTTTTACCCACAAGGGAATGGGTAACTTCAAGCGTTTGATCTAGAAATTATGTTCTTTTTGTCTATTCTGTATTGCACATTAATTGTATTAAGGTTCTTTTCCATTAAAGGTCTTATAGAGCAGATGGCAGAACCTATTCAGAGCAGGCAGACTTGGGGATTCAGAGGAACCCCCCCTCTCCCTACCCTATAACAAATCCAAACCCAACTTGGAGTATGAGAAAAAGAGAGAGAATATTCTTTTGCATGGGAATTCTCTTGCAAGTTGAACATTCATGAATAGTTTCTACAAGTTTGCCTGGCTTTTCATTAATTTTATGCACTGATGCATCATGAGAAACTTGCCCAGAAGGCCCAATACTTTACTTAGATGTAGGAGGATGAAATTGAGCTTATCTCTAGGTAAGTGCTTTTTCAAATACTTTTGCACTTCAAGGACATTACTATGAGGTTCATGACCTCTGCATAATGCTTTTACTTGTCATTTATTACAAATTCTAGAGGAGAAAATATTCCATATCTATAGATTTTCCAGAAAATTGATTTCACCCTTCTTCCATAAAGACCACCATTATAGTTGGAAAACAGAAGTATAAACTTTGGTGTTGATTATGATCAAAGAGAGATAATTAGCATTATTTTTTGATAATAGATATAATCACCTTCCAATTTGCGGGGCTCTGGCTGTCAGTTAACACCACTTATGATAAATTGTGTAAAGTAAAGAGTCTCAGACTCAACTGCAATCCAGATTGAACTGGTGGGGAATTGTTACAACAGTTATGTTAAGAATTACTGTTGCCGGGGGTGTCTCATAGTGTACCAGGAGATGAAAAAGTGCCTAAAAGACTTCCACATCCCTTCCATGCAACAATGCACTGTGCACAAAGCAAGGCAGAATTTACTCTGAGTGTACACCACACTCTCGAGTTGTCCCAGGTGGGAAAGACTGTAGCACCAGCAGCAGTCCTGGGCAAGAAGAACACAAATTCAGAATTGTGGGCTTTAAAGAAAGGTAGAAGACTGAACCAAACAGAACCTCTACTCAAGCCAGAGTATGGGGAACTGGGGCGGGGAAGGGAAGACACACCGGGGATACCCACAGGGGATTTGGATTTGAGCAGCAGAGGGCCTCCTCAGAAATACCTGCTCAGACAGTGGTAATTGCTGAACCGTCACTGAGAACAGGAGTTTGCAATTAAAACCTGCTAAGGGCTGTCGAGGGCCATTGCCTGTACGTGCAAACTAGCCATGTTGCCCCAGAGATGCTTTTTTTCCTTCATGAAGTCCAAGGTAAAAAAGCTACAGATAACTTTTTCATTCCTGAACCAGAAATATCTTACACAATAATCAGTCAAAATAGTGGTACCCAGAGAAGTAAAAAATTGAAGAGAAA